ATTTGGGATGTTGTACTGTAAGAAAGCTGGGACACATCTATCCCAGTTCCTTACAGCTGTGGAGGACACAGAAAGCCATCACCTCTTGTTGACACACTGTGATGAAGTTTCTCCTCCAGAACCTCTTCTCATTCTAAAATTGCACTTTTCATCCTGATCAGAACTTAAAAACATGCTGTGTGAAATCAATAGGGATGTGTGTGCTGCGCCAGCTTCCAAAGAGTGGCTGATGTATTTTCATCAATCTATTGCTGAAAGTTACAAAAGTCATTTTTCTGCTGAAAGTTGTAAAAGTTGTCTTCGATTTAAATTACTACTTTAAAGTAGAACATATTACCTATTTTCAGATGAATACTTAAGATGATTAGAGGGTTGGAGGTTGAAGGAATTGGGCTTAGAGAAGAGAAGGCTCTGGGGAGACTTCATTGTGGCCTTCCAGTACTTGAAGGGAGCATGTAAACATGAGGGGGAATGGCTGTTTGCAACGGTGGATAGTGATAGGACAAGGGGGAATGGTTTTAAATTGAGACAGGGGAGATTTAGGTTAGATATTAGGAGGAAGTTTTTCACACAGAGGGTGATGACACACTGGAACAGGTTGCCCAAGGAGGTTGTGGATGCCCCATCTCTTGAGGCATTCAAGGCCAGGCTGGATGTGGCTCTGGGCAGCCTGGTCTGCTGGTTTTCTGGTCCTTGCCTGTGGGAGGTGAAGACTAGATGATCGTTGTGGTCCTTTGCAACCCAGGCCATTCTCTGATTTTATGATTTTGATTCAATGATTCTAAAACTTCTCATAAAGGGACAGTCATTCAGAGTCTCAGAGAGTGTTTGATACTGCTGTATTTGAACACAGAAGGCTTTAAGTTATGCTATTTTCTAGGAAGAGCGCTTCTCTTTGACATGCCTCTTTGTCAAAGAAAAACTGTGCAAAGTCAGTGCTACAGGTAATCTGATGCATGCATACAGAGAGTAGTGCTGTCTGCAGGGCTGCCTGCGTCTTCTTGTCTGTGATCCCTGGAAACTCACAGTACTGAATGTGATCTCTGTGACTGCTGGCAAATGGCTGCAGAGCAAACAGCAATACTGTGCAGGGCAAGACGTGCCAGTGGCATGTTTGCACAGAGGGAAATGCTCGTAAATACATGACCAACTACTATGCTAACTTGCTGGAAGTTACTGAGAGCTCTGTTGTTGGCTTATCAGATAGCAATACCCTGATAAGAACAAACCATGGAGAGCTTTCCTACACGGTACGGCAGGAAAATATCTTTTAACAGAAGCATAAGTCTCACTCTTACCTTATCACCAGAAATAGTGATAATCTTCAGCTTTACAGCAAGTTCCTCCTATATAATGATGGTAACTTTCAAAGATTTCCAAATCTCTGTGTTCCTGATTTTCCCTGTACTCATTCAGAAAGGGTCTGAGCTGTACGACTGTGCTCATGGCTGTGGTTACCTCATATTGATGCTGGCACATCTTTCTTCCCTAGCAGCTGTTCTACTTTTTTTTCTCCAGTTTCTATTTGTGCTGTTGGCTTCATTAAATAATTTTGATCCTAACTATCAGTTCAAAATTACATTACACCATGTTTTTATATTGCTAGAGGATGTCTTCTGTTTTTTTCTTCTTTCCCAGCTGTCACATCCATGTAGGTGTTGTATTTCCCTTGTTTTCTCTTGACTTTTCCTATAGCATTAGTTGTCAGCTAACAAACTTGGGTGTTAATTTAAACACACTTTTGGTAATGCAAGTGGGATGGCTGTCATTTCACCCGAGGTTCCATGACATGGTTGTTGACTTGCTATACTTGGATCCAAACTGCTCTGAGTCAAATACCAGAATACCAGTGTTGGTATTTCTTAAAGTGTAAATCAATACCAGAAAGCTGAAAATGCACTGACAGTTTAACCGATGTCCCCTATTACTGGAACAAATTAACCATTAGTCAAGGGCAGTGTTTTGCCATTAAAGACTTCAGTATTTTCCCTGTAAAGTGGTGGGTTTTTTCAGTGGAATTAAAAAGAAAAACCAGTGAATGAGGCTCTGGAGAACTAATAACTCTTAATTTTAATAGTCTCAAATTACGGAAGGCTTTCAGGACAACTGTTCTGTCCTTTGGCCTTTCAGGTGTCTCACTGCTTTAGCTGGGGAAGAGGAATTGCCATTAGTGATTCTGTAGATTAGTCATGAGATACTGGAGTCCAGCTTAACATTTGGTAAGAATTGTGGGGATTTGGGTTGAATAATCAGCTGCATGAATAATTGGGATTGCCAGCATCAGCTGCTGCTGTTCTGTGTTTCTTACCCCTAGAGGTACCTGTAATTGTTTGCTACCTGTGTATAGCAAGGTGGTTTTTTCGTAATCAAAAGAATTTTAGTGTAATTTCAAGTATTCAAGTGCTTGCCTTAGAGATGAGAAACACTTATATTTTGGTTCTGCTTAGCAGATAAAAACGATTCTCTTGTAGCTTAGATAGAAATTAAATAAATTAAAATACAGGAGTTAAAAATAGGGTAAGCATTGGTAATCATGCCTGTTTGTATCTTCAGTGAAAATAGTAAGCTGTAAAAAGCCAATTTGCCCTTGCAGTATTTATTATGAAGTTTCAGTTAAATGTTTAGCCTAAGAGATAAACATTGATCATGTAAAGAGGATGGAATCCAGTTTGTGATAGGAAGATAAAGGATATAAGTCTGTATGGAAATTCAGAAAATTAGGCAGCAAGTTACACCACCAAGATTTTGTTTTCCATTATGTGCAAAGAGAAGTGGCAAGTATCAGGATGCAGCAAATGGAATTAATCTCTGAAAAAAAGTGTGCACTGCATTTAAAATGCTTGTTTAAATGATGCATTGAGTATGGGGAATAAAGAAAGAAACAGCTGAGCCTACAGTTATTTTATTTTATAAAATCTCCCTGTTTTGTTCTCCTGTTCCTGGAATTAGCCAAGGGAGACTGAACAGACTCAGCCTGCTTTGATAAGTGCTAGTTATCCCTGCACCATAAAATGCAAATGACAAAGGATGCATATTCCGCACAGCGTATTTCTCAGTGCGTATTTCTTTATGTGGAAGTAGCAACACTAATGTACATAAGCAAAAGCAGGGCATAGTGAAAGCAACCCAAACTACTTTATTTACTTATTTATTTTTTAAAGATTGTGATACCCTAATTTGAGACTTGACAGTGGATAGATATAAAATTAATCCTATCTTCCAGTGGGAAAAAAAAAAAATAGGGCAAAAACTTTCTTAAGGACACATGGTACATAAGTAGCTGTGACTTGTTATTTTTTGTCCCCAGTGAGTCTAGTTTCTCTCCCCAGAGCATTTTGTCTTCGTGTTAGTCCCGCACATTCTAAGAACTGAACTGCCTTTTTCCTGGGCAAGAATACATTGTAATGTATTGTGGGTGGTTTGTTTTCTCAGTTTCATATTAAAAACACGTGTGGACATTTAAATGAGAAAGAAAACAATTGAAGACCACAGTAATACTACTGGCAGTTTATGAAGTTTGCTGTTCAGGCTTGGTATACAATGATGGTTTACATTCAGAAATGTTCCTTATCGATGTTCATAAGTATCTAAAAGGTGGGATTCAAGTGGATGAGGCTGGGCTCTTTTTGGTGGTGGCCAGTGACAAGACAAGGGGCAATGGGCACAAACTGGAACGCAGGAAGCTCCATCAGAAGATGAGAAAGAACTTACTTACTGTGAGGGTGACAGAGCCCTGGAATGGGCTGCGCACAGAGGTTGTGGTGCCTCCTTCTCCTCTGGAGATTTCCAAGACACACCTGGATGCTTTCCTGCAACCTGCTGTGGGGAGCTGCTGTAGCCGGGGGTTGGACTTGGTGACCTCCAGAGGTCTCTTCCGAGCCCTATGAGCCTGAGATTCCATGACGCTTAACTAAAAAGAGAGGAGTCTGGAGAAGATAGAGTATAAAACACAATTCTTGGCAGATTCTTAGAAAGAACTTTTGAAAGCTTACAGGGCCAACATTTGATATTTGCAAAATCATATTCACAGCCACTTTGCATTTGGTTTTATATCCAAAAAATGGTGATGGAATTTTGTACTGACTCATAGGCTTGTATAACCTGCTAATGACATGAATCTGTTACTCATGAATGTCACCTTTCTCTTGTAATGATTTTCTTAAATAACTCATGACAACCATAAAAGTCTAGAATCATATCTGAGCACAGGAGTAAAACCTACAGTCCTGTACACGTACGAGGAAGTTCTCCCAGTCACATTCAAGACAGTCTGAAGCACAGCTTTCTTCAGTCTGACCTGGCCTCTTTCACTTTGCAGAAAATGTTCTGTAGCTCTCAAAGAGAGGTAACATTTCCTTTGTGTAAAGTCTGTAAGTACTTCATTCCAATTAGACTTTTGTGACAGAGTGCTCTGAGTGTATAAGAGGCAAATAAATGGCTCTTGGGTGCTAAGTTTTATTCTTTCAGCTAGAAAGAATTTTCCATGTATAGAAAAAGCGAACGTTGTTATGCCGTTTATGCCTGAAATCGTAACATTTTATGTTTCCTGTAAGAACTTACCTTGCAAAACACTGACTTCACTTAAAACAGACATTATTCCTTTGGGTCAGGCAGAACCTTGGCATTTCAATCCTCTAGCTGAAGTCAGAGTTGACAACATGCTGTATTGAAAATAATACGATTCTGAAGAGGCAACAGCTGTTTTTGTCAAGTGGGCTGTCTTTCACAGTCTGAACAAGCTTTGCAGGAATCTAATTGTAAAGCTGACCGGTCTGCATACCCTCCCCTGTGCACCAGAATTTCTGGAGCTGCAGAACTGAGTAGGAAGTGATTGCTGCAAGTGAAAACCGAAATAAGGTGGGAACAGCTTATCTAGATGGTATTTCATAAATCTGAAACAAATCTGAAGTTATGCTGTCACAGTTACTTGTAGAACCCAATATAAGCTGCCACTTATAATGGAAATCATAAACCAGTATGTTCTTTCCTTTCACATTTAGGAAAACATCTCTAACTTTGATATCGTCATGGAGTCTGATGAGGGCACCTTCAAGCCATCTGGGCTGGCTTTTACTGGTAATGCCAAAGCTCGTGACATCGTGAAAGAGATCATGGCTCTGCTACTGCCTATCAACGTTACAGAAGTTTATGACACTGCAGATGGAGCAGACATCAATTTCTGGATGAGGGACGGAGTGCCCGGTGAGAGTACTTTGCAAAGAAAATTCCTTCTGTAATACAGTGGCACGTCAGGGGAGCGTTCCTGCAGGCTCTGGCAGCCTGATGTTTTTAAGATTGTAAGGAAGACTTCCCCTTGAGGAATAGTATTTACCACGGATAAGATGCAGAAATGTTAAAAGGTAGCCAACAAAAATAGGGCATAATTTGTATTTGAGCTTCAGTTTAATAATGGTATAGATTATGCATAGCATAAACATGCCTAAAATCTTCTTTTAGGCTTAGGGATTTACAATAATTAATCCCAGACTGGTGGTTTATAAATAGTAAACTAAGGCAGAGGGGAATTCTGCAGTGCAGAACAAATAATTTTTTCATTATTAATATTTTGACTTTGAAATATATGGCATCTTTTTACTGTTTCATATTTATACAAAGAAACAATATTTTCAAGAGATGACTCTAAAAGCATGTGGGACATTAAAGAGTGCTGAAGAGGTAAAATTCTGTGAAGTTTGATTTGGCATAGTGATTTATCTGTAATATTATATCTGTGTCCCAGTAAGGAGCAGCTTCTGCTAAAGAGGCTTGCATACTGGCACAGAGGTATCCCCAGCAGCCCACCTGGCCAGGACACAGCATGCTGCACAAGGTTTTGCAGGGAACAAGAGTCCCAGTTTTGCAGGAGAGAAGAGCAGCCTGGGAAAAGCCTTAGTGAATTTCCGTGATAGTTTCCACGCCAGATTAATAGCGTGAAGAACAAAGTTTCATAACAGTGATGCTTAAAAAATTATGGTCAGTTTTAAAATTTTAACATTTTTTTTTCCTTAGTTCTTTATGACTGAAGTAGGCTGGTGCATTTCCATGCTCATTTTACCATGTGATTGGACTCTCCTAGTAGTTGATTAACTGCCTTGTGTCTTCCTTGGTCCTGTGCAGTGAGTCATACATTATATTCTTTTTATTTATGGGCAGAACTCTTTGCTTCTGGCCCATATGGGTTGCACCATGATACCATAACGTTGACTACCACGATAAATGTATGAAAATCTAATTTTCAAAGCAGAATATCTATGCTGGACAAGAAGTATGGAGGGGTACATATTGTTAAATAGCCAGAGATCTGTCTTCAGTTGGCATACAATTTTCCAGGTGAGGTGCAAGTTGTTCAGTGCAATGACATACAACTATGACACTGCTGTGAACTCATGTTCCTAGGCTCTGCTTATGCATCTCACATGAGTATGAGCACTTTGTGATGGGTTTAGAGACTGTAAGCACTGCTGAGAAGCTGTAGCTGTGGTATGCATCATCCTCCATAGCCTGTAAGCATCCGTGTAAGGATGTGTGATCCAAAAAATGCAAGTGTATCAGAACAGGTAAGATACTGGGGACAGCATGCGAGGGATATTACAGACAGTTAACTGGGAACTTCCAGTCAGAGGGTAATAGATCACGGGAAAAGATACTAAATAAAGCAGTTCAGTGGTGTTTGATAAGAGCTCACTCTGAGGAACAGCACTCAGGAGAAGATGGAGCCCAGATCTCTCAGGATGAGGCTTTGTGGTCAGGTAAGTCTCTGGTGTCTTCAGAAGGTATAAGCTGTAAGAAACATCTTAACTTATAAGCTTCCTTTACACCTTAGTGTAAAAAATAAATACACCACTGAGTCCTCTGCATTAAAATCTGATTTTCTTTTATTAAAAATTTGGCATGTTAATTCATGTTAGTTTTTTTTATATATATACTGTTTGAAGTTTTGATTCATTTAACTTCCAGTTAAGCAAATAATACGGTGTTCTTACAGCATAAGGCACAGAGATACCTTTCTCCCCATTGATCCCTGATGGGAAGGATTTAACTCCACTAAAAACATTTCTGCTGCTTTGGATTGTATTTTATATTATACCAGGCAGAAGTCTACAGCATCTTGTAATCTTCACGCCTTGTCTGCAGTATTCTCACTGCTTGAATGAGTCCTTATGGTATATTGTAACACTGGAACACATTGAACACTCTGTAACAGCTTTTATAATTTTGTCCAATTTAAACATGCAGTCAAGTGTTGTCACTTCATCAATTTTATTTAAATATTTTCTTGAAAGTACAGTTGTTGTCTTTCTTTCTGTAACAGTTCAAGAAAATACGCTCTACTTGTTGAACAATAAGAACAATAAGAACGGTTCTCTAGCATTTTTCTCCTTTTTAAATAGATTCTGAGATTCTCCTTTTTATATACAATTAGAAATCTGCTCCTTCTGCTCCGTTTGGTCTGAAAGATCCACAGAGCACAAGAGTACGTGTGTTTTTCAGAGCTGTTTGTGATTGCTTCTGGGACACACGCAGTGACTCCAGCTCCTCAAACGCCGCCATTTCCAACGTTTTTATTTTTAAAGGGCATGCAATGAAGTGTCCTTAAATTTTTGCAAGAAAAAGGTGCTGTCTACTCTCAGGGAGTAAGAAAGGCCAAATGAGTTCAGGGTGCTTTGCGAGCTGTGGAATGAAGCTTAACAAATGCCCCTAAAGTACAAGCAAGGTGATCGGTGCTGAACACAGCAGTTTCATGCTTTGTGTCTGCGAAGTATTAGATGTATTTCCATCAGCAGCCTTTATGTTTGATTATTTTGAGAACAGCTTAGCCCAGCAATGAGGAATGTCTGGAGCTGTGTTTTTCTAGTGATAGCCAGTTTTTAGCTACTGAAAATATTTGTATTGCATTTGTTTTGCTTTTTCGTGAAGCATAAATCAAATTGAACTTTTGTGTGTGTGTGTGGTATTGTATTTTATGCTATATTTTTACAGTTTGAGGTGGCCACTGATCCTTAGACTGCTCCTTTATTAATTACACAATTACCTTCCTCACTTTTAAGGGATCAATTATGTATTTTTTTAATTAGACATATATCTAAACTGTTGCACATAAAGCCATTCATTTCCAACACTATGACAGTCAAGTTTGGCCAGAATTTACACACGTAGGTGTGGAGGTGGTTTTGTTTTGTTTTGTTTTGTTTTGTTTGCTCTTTTTTGTTCGTTTGTTTGGCTTCTGTGAATGCTTTTGCACAAATCTTGTTCACTGTCTGAAAGGGATAAAAAATCATTAAGCAAGTCCAGCTGGACCAGCACTCCAGAGGTTTTGTTTAAAAAGCAAGACATGATCATCACAGATCTGCTTCTGAAATGATTTAGACCAGTTCTTAAAGTAATAGCACTGGGGCTGGGTCAAACTTCCCTGCAAGCTTCTGGAAATTGAGAAGGGGAAATGAGGTGACTCTATTTGTGTTATGGTATCCAGAGAATATGAGTTCAGCTTTAGACACCAGAGGGGAAGAAAACAGGTGCTCTCCCATTTCTGCAAAGGGAATGCTGTTGTAACACACAGTTTCCCAGAGAATTGGTTCAAGTTGGCTCCTTTCTGCTGGCCTTGTAGGGGAGGTTATTTGTTGCTACGGGTACTTCTGATGAGAACATTTGTCCATGACAAACTGAGCTGTATTTGAGACCAAGCTGACCCAGGACATCAAACAACCCTCAATGGAACGTTTCCATTTAAAATTCAACCAGATACCTAAAGGTGAAACTCCTTTTTACAGTGTCACGCTGAACCTTGCTAGTTGTTCATGTCTCTCTGTCTCCACAGTGACAGGGACTTGCTTTTTTGGTACATTACAGGAGAGGAGAAATTATTCTTCCAGAAATGAATGAACCAGTAGCTCATCTAACTTTAATATTTCTTCAAAAATCAAAAACTCACTGCTAACCCAATCTATTCGTCATTTTCCTAGAGCTGGCAAACAAATACTGTCATACATAATTTCTCTCATTTTTATAGAACTTCTTTATTACCTTCATAAAACTTCAACAGTAAGATATATTTTTGATCTTGGATGCTGGACTTTTATATGCAGTATTTTCTTTCTTGTCACAAAAGAGGTCAAACCCTCGAGTTCCACTCCTTTTCCGGACCATGCTGTCCCTTCATCCCTTGTCCCTTCCATCAGTCAGATCACCAAGCACCATCTAATGCCTGCTTGAATGCATGAGCTGAGACCAACTGTCTGCTTGGTGTCAGCTAAAGGCGTGCTTGAGGAAGCAGTGTAATGGGAAAACTCTCCAACTTGGGCCTGCCAGCTGAGTGTGGAGAGTTAGGTAGGCTCTCTGTTCTCCAGATTATTCGTGAATAGACTCTGCTAACTCTTGGCTGTGTCACTGTTTGAAAGCAATTTTCCGCTGTGATGCTTGATCCCTCAGAATACCTGTTTCATGGACTCATACAAACTTGGGCAATCTTTGGATTCAGTTTCTAAGCTCCTTTTTTTTTTTTTTTTTTTCTTAAATAGAATAATAAAAACTCTAAGAGAAAAAAATAAAAAAAGAGGAAAACCACACCGCAATAGGCTTAGGACTTCATAGACCTTGTGCTGAAGGGTCTTTGACTTGATTACACAGAGGTAGTGAATTTCTCCATTTGCAAAGATGGTCCTGTAAGATGAGGGCAAGAAAAATTGGTTTCCTTAAAAAATAGAGACACTAGCTATTAGTCCTTTACTTTAGTAGATAGTATTTGTGTGATTTGTGATCTCAGATGGTTAGTGCAATGTGACTCAGAGAGCCCAGTCTTTTCATCAAGTGACTCACAGAAGTGTAATGGCTCCTGCTACTCAATGAGCAAACAGTTAAACAAAACTCTTAAACCCTACTCACAAAACCAACTTTACACACTGTATCCAAGAATTTTCATAATTTTAGTTACTTCACAGGTGCCTCATTTCTGTGCTTGCAGAGTTTCCAGGTGTTGACACACACCAACAGCACCAGTTGCCAGCCACCAGGTGCCTAGTTTGCTTCTTTGTGGAAATGAGGTGTAAAGGACGTCAGCTGTGCACCCATGGCATCCCCAAATCTTGATCTCATTAAGTATGAGTTAGGTATATCAGTAGTGTTATATGATAATTAGCAAAATCATATTGCTTTTTCTAGGTCATTTGTTTCCTTTTAAATATTCTATCATTTTAAGGGAAATA